GGGCCTCATGCATACAAGGCAAGCACTCTACCACTGAGCCACCTTTCCAGCCCTCATAATCTTGATATTCCTGCTTTAGCCTCAGGTTCTAGAATTTTAGGTGTGTACCACACCAGCTTACAATTCCTTTATCTTTCTCCCCTTGGTACTTGGCCTTGAATTTAGCAACCTAGCTAGTAGTGGTATTCTACTAGCTGAGCTACTAGTTGAGGCCTGTTTGTGTTGGTTAGAGATGGGAATCTTGCCGATTTCTCTGCCTGAGTAGCTAGAATTACAGAGACACAGGCCATCAGCGGCTGGCTTAGAGTAGATTGTTAAGTCATAGCAGTTACGTTCCATTGAAATTGCAAACACCAAACAACTACTCTCAAGGAAGTACAGGATAATCTCATTTTATGTGCTTTTTTGAAAACACCTTATTTAATTCATTCTATTGGTTCAGTGACGTCGTATTCACAGCCAGAAAGCACTATAACCTGTAGAAAGTTCATGTAACCTCTATAGGTTTGTCAGCCTTTTTTTTTGTGCTGCAAAGGGGCTGGAACTCAGAACTTCAGCTTTGTCCCATAGCTATTTTGCTCAAAGTTAAGAGTTCTACCTCTTGAGTCATACTTCCATTTCTGGCTTTTTGGTAGTTCATTGGAAATAAGTCTCTAAAGCTGGCTTCAAACCACGGTCCTTGGATCTAAGCCTCATGAGTAGCTAGAATTACAGGTGTAAGCCACCAGTGCCTTGTCCAGTCTTTCTTCTTGCACTCAGGAACTATATTTAAGCACTGGTCCTGGGGCTTGAACTCAGGCCCGGGCGCTGTCCCTGAGCTGTTTGAGGCTAGCACTCTACCACTTGAGCCACAGCTCTGCTTCTGGCTTTTTCTGAGTAGTTTATTGACGGTAAGAGTTTCATGGACTTTACTGCTGGGCTGGCTTTGCACTGCAATCTCAGCTTCCTGAGTAGCTAGTATTACAGGCATGAGCCACCTGTGCCCAGGTAAGAGACTATTTTAAACTACCAACAAAAATTAAAAAAAAAAAAAAAACATGGAAAAACAGGCATTAACAGACCATGGAAAGGACATCTATTCATAGCATGAGAACTGCAACAGGGTATCTTATTTGAAGACAGATGGAAATGTGTGTATCTAATGACTTAATTGTGTCATGATTAAGGTTACTAATAAAGTTTACAAATGAACTTCAGTGAGTACAGTGTACTATCCAAAGCCTCTATCAGGTATATAGATTACCTCTAAACATATCTTTACGAAAGAGAAATCTCACACATCAAAGGAACAGATTTTAAGCATTAGGTGTGTATGTGCTCTGCTGAAAAAAGTCTCAAATCAGGACAATCTTGTAGAGCTTACGTGGTAATTGTCAGCATTGCCTATTAAGCATCAATTCAGGGTCCTGCATTCATTGAATGATCAATGTTCAATTCAGACCCAAGAGTTCAGATTTTCCCCACTGTTTGTTTATTTACTTATTACCACTACATCATGCCAGAATTTATAAAGATCACAGGACAAAATGATGAAAACCACTAAAAGGATCTCTGCCTTGTAGAACTGATAAGACTTAGCAGTTTCACTTACTGAAGTCAATGAGCATCTTGCCATAGCCCTGTCTCATGTACTGAGGCATGGTAAGGATACAGGATACATTGTAGTTGAGGAATGAGTTCTTCTCCTAAAATCAAAGCAAACAGATTAGAAGAAGTCATTAGGGTTTGGAACCAAAGGTTTCATGCCTCTCTCATATACAATATAAGATGGCTTACAAAAAGTCCTGGGGGGCTGGGAAGGTGGTTAGTGGCAGAGTGCTTACCTTGCATGCATGAAGCCCTTGGGTTCGATTCCTCAGTAACACATAAATAGAAAAAGCTGGAAGTGGTGCTTGAACTCAGGGCCTGAGCACTGTCCCTGAGCTTCTTTTGCTCAAAGCTAATACTCTACCACGTGAGCCACAGCCCCATTTCTGGCATTTTTTGCTTATGTGGTGCTGAGGAATCAAACCCAGGGCTTCATGCAAGCTAGGCAAGCACTCTACCACTAAGCCACACTCCCAGTCCCTGAAGCTCTCTTTAGAGGCATTTTTTCAGAAGACTAGTCACCTGCCTAATGGAAAGGAACAAAATACAAGCCGCCTTCATTTTGAAAGGGGATCAGAATAAAATTACAACACATATTTGAAGATTCTATATATAAGAAATGTCTAAGCCAGGTGCTGGTGGTTCATGGCTGTAATCCTAGCTACTCAGGGGACTGAGACCTGAGGATCATGGTTCAAAGCCAACCTGGGCAGGAAAGTTCGTGAGACCCTTATCTCCAATAAACCACTCAGAAAACCATAAGTAGTACTGTGGTTCAAGTGGTAGAATACTCCCCTTGAGCTGAAGAATTCAAGGACAGCAGGACAGCTCCCGGGTCCAGAATTCAAGCTCCAGGACAAAAAAAAATTTTTTTTTAATTTAAAAGAAAAAGAAATGTCCAAAATAGGCAAATTTATATACAGAAGGACTGGAAATGTAGATTGCTAATGCACACAGGGTTTCCTTTAGAAATTATGAAAACTGTGACAAGTGCCTAGTGTTCATATAGCTCTGAAAATGTATTATAAACCAGTCAAGTACATACTTTAAATGAGTTGGCTTTGCACTACAGTCCTTCAAGTCTAGCCTTCTGAGTAGCTAAGATTACAGTGTGAACCATTAGCACCTGGCTTGGATAAAGCTTTCAGTAAAGAACTGAGCATTTTCATTAAACTATCCATAATATCAACCCCAACTCAACTTTAGGGAAGGGCTATTACTGTTCAAAGTATTAGGGATTTACTTGAGCCCTCAATTATTAATACCCATATCCCTGCTGTGGCCATTAGTTTCTTAATCACCAGATCCTGCTGACCTTGGAAAAATATCCAATCAGGTGACAGCCAGTGCTGTCTGCTTCCGTCATAACATAGAACAGGAAGGGCTCCACATCATAGTATAATGTCTTATGGTCCAGAAAAAGCTTGGCCAACAAGCACAGGTTTTGGCAGTAGATCTGGAAGGAGAAAAAGAATTTATGTGAGGGCTGTTGACTTCTAAAGTCAACAACAAAAAATTATTTTTAACTAATAATCATACCATTATCCTGCATAAGGCAGACTTTTTCCATTGCTATAACATACAATATCTCTAGCTTGTTACAAGGTATAACAAAAACTACACATTCTTCTTTAAAAACCATGAATGTGCATCACCATTTCTCGTAAGTTATGACATTTTACCTTATTTTTCTTGCCATCTACCTCAAACACCGAGATTGAGCCTTTCCGATAGATCTCATCACCAGGTGGGTGTTTCCATACACACTTGGCCTGTAAGAGAATGGAATTCTCATCAAGGAAAAGTCTCCCTATGAGATGCTCCTTAGTAGGAAAAGAAATCATAGGTCAAATGTGGTTAAGTGAGCTAAAGGTCAGTTGAACACACCTTAGTAAACAAAAAGAAATTTTTTTCCCCAGAAAAACATATAAAGGCTTCTAAAGTCACTACAATATACTTAAAGGCATTTTACAGTTGTTTGGAACAAGTTTTTTGGGCTATACTTTGGCATTACCTCAGCCCAGGAGATTAAAATCATCTACTACACAAAAGCCAGATAAGAATACCTTTGCTTATTAAACAGGAAATTCCTAAGCAGCTTATTCCTAGCAGCTTAGTATTACTAAGTACTTTATACTCACCTTTACCAGTAACTACTCATCATTACCGTCTTCTTTTCAGATTAGAAAATCTAACTCACAATGATAACAACTATGGAACTATGTATATGTTCCAGCACTTTATATAAGGCAAGGGAACCTGGCTGAGCAGCCGAAAGCTGGAGACACATGGCCACAAGAGGGCACAAGGTACCTAAAAGGCCAATATTTTGGTTTGGTTTGTGGTGTTGGGGATGGAACCCAGAGACTTACATAGCTATAGGCAACTGCTCTACCACTGAAGTAACAGCCCTGCCAACAGTTTGTTTGTCAGTCATGGGGCTTGAACTCTGGGCACTGTCCCTCGGCTCTTCAGCTCAAGGCAAACACTCTACCACTTGAGCCACAGAGCCATTTCTGGTTTTCTGGTGATTAATTGGAGGTAAGAGTCTCACAGACTTTCCTGCCCCAGCTGTCTTTGAACTGAGATTCTCAGCCTCCTGAGTACTAGGATTATAGGCATGAGCCACTAGGGCCCAAGTTTCAGTTTTTGTTGTTTGTTTGTTGTTGTCGGCCTGGGTGCTGTCCCTGAGCTTTTGTATACTCAAGGCTAGTGCTCTACCACTAGAGCCACAGCTTCACTTCCAGCTTTTTAGTAGTCTCATGAACTTTCCTGCCCAACTGGCTTTCAAACATGATCCTCAGACCTCAGCAGACACCAGCATCCAGCTTTTGCTTCCCCAACCCCCAGCTGGCAATCTTAACACTCAGTGGTAGAGTGCGTACCTTGCATGCATGTGACCTTGGGTTCAATTCCTCAGCACCACATAAGCAGAAAAAGCTGGAAGTGGCACTGTGGCTCAAGTGGTAGAGTGCTAGCCTTGAGCTGAAGAGCTCAGGGACAGTGCCCAGGCCCAGAATTCAAGCCCCACAACAGACAAACAAACAAACAAAAAACAATGGAGTCTGATCTTTAGTAAAGGCTTGCCTGGAACTCACCATGTATCCAGGTCTGATCTTGAACTGATTCTCCTGCCTCAGTCTACTAAGTGGTAGAACTACATTTGTGTGCCTTGAAAGGTTTTAATGTAAATACATTATAAAATACTGCTTTAGGGGCTGGGAATGTGGCTTAGTGGTAGAGTGGTTGCTTAGTATGTATGAAGTCCTGGTTTCGATTCCTCAGTAACACATAACTAGAAAAAGGCCAGAAATTGCATAATGGCTTAAGTGGTAGAATGCTACCTTTGTGCAAAAAGAAGATCAGGGTCAGTGCCCAGGCTCTGAGTTCAATCCCTAAGACTGGTCAAAAAATAAAAATAAAGATTAATAAATACTGCTTTCAAGAATGCCTGAGCCAGGCATCAGTGACTCAAACCTGTAATTCTAGCTACTCAAGAGGCTGAGATCTGGGGATTGTGGTTCAAAGCCAGAGTGGGCAGAAAGTCCAGGTGAGACTCTTACTTCCAATTAACCACTCAAAAACAGGAAGTAGCACAGTGGCTCAAAGTGGTAGATCACTAGCCTTGAGCAAATGAGCTCAGTGAGAGGGCGCTGGCCCTAAGTTCAATCCCCACGACTGATGGAAAAAAAGAAAAGAAAAGAAAAAGTATATGGCCTGGTGCTGGGTAGCTCACACCTATAATCTAAAGATTATATCTACCCCTTTCCTCATGCTAGTACTTTCTTTCCAACAACAGCCAAACTAATCCAAGGCCATTTCAGTGATTATACCTGAAGTAATAGGAAATCAGAATAGGTTTGGATTTTTATACTTATTCATTTTTGCTAATCCTGGGGTTCAAAATCAGGGCCTAGTCACAGTCCCCAGCTTGTTTGAGTCTCATGGGGACTTTTCTGTCAGGGCTGGCTCTGAACTGTGATCCTCAGATCTCAGTCTCCTGAATAGCTAAGATTACAGCCGTGAGCCACTGGTGCCCAGCTGATTTTTATACTTATATAATACAACAGAGCTATCCAGACTTTTTGTTTTCTCTATTTCTTGCCTAAAATTTTATTGGTTGGTGTTACTAAACAACAAGAAAGAAAAAAAGGTAAATGACAAGTAGTTAACATCATATTGTAATTGTAATATCAGTCTTACTTATCTCCCTACTCAACAATCTGTCTAGGCTGCCACCACTACTACTCACTCTGCCTAACTGTCTCCACCAATCCTTGCCTCCACCTGCACTCACTCTATTATTCTATCCCCATACTAGTCAAAGTAGCAGCACTGGACTACAAAATTACAGACAGTATTATGTGCTCTAGAGCCAGGAACATGAAAAAGTATCATCACTGAACTAAAGAAAACTGTTAGAGAAACCCTAGTAAGTCTGTGTTTAGGTGCTTAGCACATGGAAACCACAGAAAATAGATAGGAAGATAGACCCAGACTTACATAGACCAATTAACCACTAAAAAGCCACAAGTAGAGCTGTTGCTAAAGTGACAGTGTCAGCATTGAGTGAAAAAGATAAAGGATAGCACCCTGAGTTCAACCCCCAGTGCTGTCATACACATGAATGTATGTGTGCAAACACACAAAGATGCACAGCGAAGATAGGCAAACTAAAGGCCACAATTATGTTATGACTATGGGAACAACAGACCTATCTAAGAGGTATCTCAAAACAAGTTACAAGTCTTGTACCTTAGCAGTCAGAAGGCTGAGGTGAGTTCCAGTCTAGCACAAACTATGCTGTAAGACTTTGTCTCAGCAGACAGGGAAAAAACAAATTAAACTAATGTTTACCCTTTTCTCTATCCCTGCTACATGACAAAAATCTCCTTTATGAATTTGTCTTCCCCCCAGTCCTGGGGCTTGAACTTGGTCTGAGACTATCCCTGAGCTTTTGTGCTCATACCCAGTGCTCTACTACTTGAGCCACTTCCAGTTATTTTTTTCTGTGGTTAACTGAAGATGAGTCTTACGGACTTTCTTGCTCTGACTGCTTTTGAACCAGGATCTTCAGACCTCAGCCTCCTGAATAGCTAGGATTACAGGTATAAGCCATAGGTGGCCAGTTCCCTGTATGACTTTCTCACAGCTAGTCAAAAAAAAAAGAGAAAAGAAAAAAACATAGTAAACAGACTGTCAATAAAATCAGACAAGTCTTTCATCCTCTGTTACAGGCTGACCTCCTTTATAAGGCTTTCAATTCCCATTGCTATGTTGAGTTGCTTGGACAGATACCATCTCTAGAACAAAATCCAGAGATCTTGTAACATCCCAATCTCAGTCAGGGCAAAGGCACACACTACAACTTACCATGTGCCGGCGGAGTATTGTTTGGCTCTTCATGTATTTTAAACAGAATTCACACATGTAGAGACGTCCCAATCGTGCATATTCTTCAGGATAGGGAGAATGGTACCAAGTATCAAGCTCATAGCGGCCAAAAGCAATTGTTTTAATCATGTTGCTCCCTTCTGTGATTTGGCCCTGCAGTCTTAACTTCTCCTGTTGCCAAGGAAGAAATCAAAGTCAAAAAGAGCCAAGCATCGTGACTTCTACCTGTAATCCTAGTTATTCCTGAGGCTGAAAATGAGAAGACTATAGTTTGAGGCCATCATGCTAAGCCTGGAAAATCAGGCAGTCTTCTAGAAAACTTACTAGCTACACAGATCTCAACAGGTGTTTGTCTACACCCACATTCTGGGTCCCATCAGAGTAAGCCCTTGGATATGACTTCATTTTTACCAGCCAAAGCCAAATTAAATTATATGAAGGTAATCTATTACAAACTCCTAACTCTTAGAGCTGAGGGACAGCACCCAGGTCCCACGACTGGACCCCCCCCCAAAAAATAAAAAAATATTCTAGCTGGGAGCTGGTGGCTCATGCTATAATCCTAGCTATTCAGGAGGCTGAGACCTGAGGATTGCGATTCAAAGCCAGCTTGGGCAGGAAAGTCCGTGAGACTCTAATTTCCAATTAACCACCAGAAAACCGGAAGTGGCGCTGGGGCTCAAGCGGTAGAGCACTAGCCTTGAGTGGAAGAGCTGAGGGACAGCACCCAGGCCCAGAGTTCAAGCCCCATGACCGACCAAAAAAAACCAACAACAAAATCCAAAAACTAAAGACAAGAATGATTATTAGAAGGTGTTTCATTCATCTGTAAAACCTTCTATAAAGCCTGTGAATCCCTGACAAATTTGCAATGTCTACTTTTTTCTTAAAAAAAAAAAAAAATTGGGGGAGGGGCGGGGGGTCTGGTTGTGAGGCCTGAACTCTGGGCCTGGGCGCTGTCCCTCAGCTCTTCAGCTCAAGGCTAGCGCTCTACCACTTGAGCCACAGCGCCACTTCCGGCTTTTTTCTTTTT